GACCTGATCATAAAATGAACAATCTTTTGCACTTGTAAGATTTCAAGCAATTATTCTTAACCAAAAAATATATATTTTTCTGTAAATTGACTACTCATTCAAAACCAACTTCTTTACTCAATCATTTAAATAATCACAACTTTAATTTTTATCCATAAATTTAATTTCTTCCTAAGTACATAGCCTTATACCATAATAGGCAATGTTTTCCATAAATATAAAATTCGAATGAATCCAATATTGTACTTCAATTATAAACTATAACAAAAAATAATCACTTTGACAATTAAGAAAATTATGTACACTTCAAGTGGAAACTTCAAATTAACTATACAAATGTCCAACTCGTGTGATCAAACCTTAAATACCTTGTTAATAAATTTGTAGAACCAAATCAAGTAAACATCTTTTTTTACGTATATATAACTATTTACTACAATTATAATCTTCACAACTGAATCTATCAAGATATTCTCTAACATTGTAACCGAAAATTAATTACTTTCAAATTTTAAAACATCATTTCATTTGAACTCCAATATTTTATACTTTTAATTCCAACAATGTACATTCATATTCTAATCTTAATTCATGATTAAGGATTCACTTAACACTTATCAAATAACTTCAAAATCTCGTAAGGTCAAAAGTCTTTTCTCAACCCATAGAATCTCTAATGATAAAATCATTCTTTTTGATAATCATGTAACTCATAAAATATGTCTTGTCATAAATTGTATAAAAAATCTCTTTGACTTATAAAATCGCACCTTGTTAAAGTAATTTGACTTTCTCTTAAATACAAAATCTCAAAAGCAATATATAATTATCAACTAAAATAATTACTCCAAAAATCCATTGAATTATTGATTCCTCAAAATTCATTGAAACTTTAACAACTTCAAAATTTATAGAATCATTTACTTATACTCACCACTATAGTCTATGGATCAAAGTTATGTCATTGAAAAATCATCACATTATCTAAATTCTAAAAAATTTTCACATAATATATAATTTATAACCATACTTATAGAATATCTCTTTTAATCCTAGGATCATAAGTTACATTCTTTAAAAAATCATCATTAATTCTAATTATCATAATTTGAGCTTTTAAAAAATCTCTAAATATCATAACCTAAGTTCTTAGAAAATCTCCAAAACCATAATATAAACTCTTAAACATCCCATATAGTTTAAAGGTCATAATATGAACTCTAAAAATAAATCTACATGAATCATAACTTAGGCTTTTATGAAAAATCTCATCATAATCTATCTCTTAAAAATTATCCAAAGATCGTAACTTAAACTTTGATATCACTTTTTGTCATACCTCAAGATCGAGACATAATATGATCATATTACCTTGAAGTAAAACTCCAAAGTATTATGAAGCATTCTTTCTTAATCATTTTAAAATTCTTTAATAAAATAATATGTTCAAGAAAGTCCGTAACTTTAATTCAACTAATAAGAAATTTTCATATTTTCAAATGCAAACTAATAAAAATACTAAATCACTTCATAAAAGCTTACTAGCCAACAATGTCTCTAATGTCCAAGTAATCTTTCAATCTGATATTCTAGCTTCTCACATAACTAAGTATACTTATAACTTACTCATCTATAAAAAAAAAAAAAAGTAAAAGGGGAATAAGCAAACCACAATTCAGCAAGTATAGGCTCACATACCTTACCAGATCAAGTATCATTTTCATACATGTCATATAGATCATTCAAAATATTCATCAAATCATAGTGTCAAAATATTTCAAATATCATCATTCTGTTAAACGTTTTACAAATTCATAAATTGATATCAAAACATGTTAATTTATAAATCATTACAAAATATGCTACCATTCAAATATTATAATCAAACCAAATCATGGATCAATCATTAAAAATCACCGTAAATCATCTTCTTATACAAATCATGGAACATCCTTTAAAATCATCACAAATCATCATAAATTATTAGTTTATTGTTAGTTGCGATCACTACTATAACCCGTGATATTGGCCATATCGATAATTTCATCATCATAATCATTACTAACTATTATAATTTATTAGCCAGGACTTGATGCTAACTACTATAACCTTTTAGTAAGCCGTATAATTATGGCTATGCTAACTACTATAACCTGTTAGCCAAGATTGTAGAACTAGCTTTGGTGTGATGATCCCACTTCTTAATTATGTAAAAAATAGCTATCATAAAATCATTCCTTAAACATAAATCATTTTATCATTTCATTCATAAGCATGATCCATCATTTACATAGCAAAAATACAAAATAATCATATGCTTGATCTTATTTCCATATATGAAAATAAAGAAATAAAATATTTACTCATTTAGAAACATACATATATATTTAAGTTCAAAAAATAAGTAAAGTGTGTGAAATTCTACTTACTTCCTTTCGATTTCACTACTTAGTTTTTTTCTCAAAAATAATTAACAACCTATTAAAGATCATTTCAATATATCAAAAATTAATCAACCCTTTTTTTATATCACTTATACTAAAAACAACTAAGTCTTACAAGAGTTAACTCAATTAATTAATACTGACAACCTAAGCTCATTTCACTAAAATAATCATATCTCAAGATATCCAACTTAGAATAAAGATTCTTTTAATACGTTAGAAACTAGACTCGATAAGCTTTCTAACAATATATGGCCTATCTCGTGATTCCTTGGAGATTAATTATAATAATTTTTGAAATCCACGTAATATGTTGCTATCAAATAGCATGTATACTTTGTCATAAAAATTTCACATTTATTCATAGGAAACTCTAAATTCGATTTCGCTTATTTTGTTAAAAAGTATACTCAATAAACTTTCCAAATATATATGGCTTAATCTATAATTCCTCGGTATAAAAATTAAGAGAAATTTCATAATTCCTCCCTACTGCTGTTACTGGGCAACCTGCACGTCTTTAAGTGAAAATTAAACTACTATTCATAGAAATCTCGAAATTGATACCCATTTATTTCATTGAAAAGTAAATTCAGCAGGCTTTCTAATGATATAAATAATCATAGCAATATTTTATCCCTAATACAAAATATTATCTTAACTCACTACTACAAATACTAGGGTTCATATGAAACAAAAATTTTCCTTTCTAAACTCATCAAATTTATGTTTCCTATTTTTATAGCAATAAAATCACATTACTAAACTTTCTTAATACTTTATTATACCCTAAAGTTTAAATGATTTACCTAAATCAATCTTGAAGAGAGATAATAGATTTTTTAAAATTTTAAAATTTCTCAATTATAAGTTAAACCTCAAGACTTAACAATTAACATTATTTTTTCAAAATTGAAGAAATTATTTACTCACCTTTGAAAAATAAGTTTTGTTGTAGATTTTGTTCTTACCCTTCAATTGAAATCCTTCGATTTGTCTATTCTATATAAGAAAGAAGTGAGAAATAAGCTTTTATTTTTTTTGAATCAATTGTCGACCGAAAATAGTAATATAAATTAAGCCTATTAAAAATTACGTTTTTACTTATAAGTATTTTGCCTTTTTTAACTTTTATTAAAAATTCCCTTCGGTTATAAAATATTTAATATATATATATATAGTTTTTTTTTTTTTTTACGGGTATTACACGTTCACATCACAATTTACAATACCAAGAAATTCAAAGAAACCAAACAAGGGCTCGATGTTACAATCTTTCAAAGGGATGCATTGATTTCTATCTTTAGAAGTGTATATATTGATTATAAAATCATTCAAAACTTAACTTGATAAGAATAAGAACTTCAGGAACTAGTTCTTTTTGCTACAGGCAAATTTGGGGGCAGAGTCTTTAGGAAAATGCAGGACTAGGGTTTGGTTTTGAACGCTGTCCTGCAGCCTGCAGCGTATGCACTTCCTTAGGCAAGTCCATTGAGACATCGTCAATGCCAACCGACCTATTTGAAAGAAAAAATAGTCACAGAATCAGTCAAACTATTTGACTATAGTCGCTCTCAAAGTTTATCATTACATCTTGGGGTTCGGAATTCCATTATCAAGATTTTACATGTTGGGTGACTTATATATCTCAAATTCTCAATTGCCCTGACAAAAATTTAGTTGATACAGATAAAGCATTCTGCCCTACTGACCTGAACATTTTGGTACCCTAAACTAGTTTTAAGTTTAGGGTTGTGCCCCACTATTTTTGGTTCCTAGGGAAAGAGGCTCATTAATGGTTGAGTAGTATTAGAGAAAGCCTCTCATGGCTGATTCTTGCAAGCTGCACCAACTTTGATAATGTTTTTTTTGGCCGCACACCAACGTTGATAATTAAACATAGAATTAAAAGGAGTTGTTAAATGAACGGCAGTTCGCATCCCTTTCAATCACGTGGGTAGCTGAATGCCCTAGAACATAAATATATTTATGTAGATTATTTACATATTTTATCATATTTTACGTATAAATTATGTCATAATTTATATAAAATATACAAAACATAAAATATAATTTTTTCTAAAATGTTAATTTATATTAATTTTATATTTTTTTATATTATATTATTATATCATGTTTTAATTTTTTAAATTATCACATTTAAATAAATAAAAATTATGCATTTTTTTTATTACATTAAGAAAATAAAATCTTAATACAAGTAAAAAAAAAAATGAGATCTGATTCAAAACTAAATCTTTGATGTCTCGTCAAGTGCCTTTAACTACTAGGTTAGAGGCTTGGGGACAATATTATGCATCTTTCACTAAAAAGTAAAAATTATACATAAAACCTATAATAGCAAGTCAAATGGGAGAAAATAAGATGAATCATGAATCACAAGCTTTCAACTTCCTTTACCTACCATTCCTTTGCCTCTCTGAGACTTACAGAGGGACAGAGTGTTAGCTATGATGGTATGCGAAATGATAATGTCATAATCAGGACTCAGGGGTACATCAAGTTTATTTATAACATTAATGCTTTATATAAAGGCAGCAGCACTCTTCAGATTTCACATTTCACTTTGAAACTGAACCAGCTTTTCTCCTCGTTGCTTCTCTCAATCCCCTGAGCCACCTGCAAAGGATAACTAGTAAGTGTTTTTTCTTTCAATCTATTCTTCTTCATTCTTAAATGAAGACTTTCTGGTTTCTATATATTTGCATTTTTTTTTTGGCAGTGACTACTGAAATGGTCATGGTTGATGAAATCCCTTTTCCTCCACAAATCACAACTATCAAGCCACTATCCCTTTTTGGTCATGGTAGGCCTTTTTTCATACTATGTTTTGGTACTTAGTTTCATTTTTTCCTTTTCCTTTATCCTATATATGGTAACGACTCCTTAGTATCAATAACCTTTATTTTTATAGATAATATTTGGTAGTAATTTCTATTTGTTTAATCCGTTTTTAAAGTTGAGTTAGTAACTTTACGATTTTGATTGAGTCACATCAAAATTCTATGAGCTTTTGTATTGTATTAATATTGAGATTTGGTTAGGTTCTATAATCTACATCAAATCAATGCCCTTTATAATCAGTATTCACCTTCTGGTGCTGCTACAGGAATTACCGACATTGAGATTCATTTTCTCCAAATCAAGTTTACAGCAATTGGAGTTTACCTTGAACCTGAAGTTGTAGGACACTTACAACAATGGAAGGGCAAGCCTGGAAACGTGCTAGCAGAAGATGATGACTTCTTTGAGGCCCTTATTAATGGTACATAAACCGATTCCCATCATTGATTCAAAGTTGTGAAAATTTTCATTATAATCTGTTTAAAAAACTATGTTAATTTCTTCCTTGATTATATACTGCCTGCAGCTCCAGTGGAGCAATTTCTGAGAGTTGTGGTGATTAAGGAGATCAAAGGCTCTCAATATGGAGTGCAACTAGAGAGCGCTGTGAGGGACAGATTGGCAGCTGTTGACAAATACGAAGAGGAAGAGGAAGAAGCCTTGGAGAAAGTTGTTGAATTCTTTCAGTCTAAATATTTCAAGAAGAATTCAATCGTCACATACCATTTTCCAGGAAATTCAGGCACTGCTGAGGTATATTTTGAGGCATATGAGTAATACTCTGTCCTTAAAAAACCAATAATTCCTATACTAATCATAACGCGCTTTTGTGTCTGCATGCGCGTGCAGATAGCATTTACCACCGAAGGAAAGGAGGATGCCAAAATCAAAGTGGAGAATGCTAATGTGGTTGAGATGATAAAGAAATGGTACTTGGGAGGAACAAGGGGAGTGTCTGCTACTACCATAGCCTCCTTAGCTAATGCCCTATCTGCCGAGTTATGCAAATGATTGTATGCTGTCTAATTATGAGTTCACAGGCTTCTCTAGAAGGTTGTCTAAGAATGAGCCTGCTTGTTGTGCTTCTGTACCAATAAATTATGATATGCAAGTTGGTTAGAGTTGAGTTTTGCCAATTGAGAACTCAATTTCCTTGAATCCCAAGATTGAATGAAACAAACAAAAAGGATTTTAAGAGAATTTGATTTCATCTTTTCACTGATATGCTTGATTGCCTATAAAATGAACCATATTCTTAACAAAGAATCACCGCTTCTATCCAGTGTGCCCTTTACATGTGTTTCTCCAGGAGAGACTCGGGTTTTAAAGTGAATGATATTAGAAATGACGGTATCTACTCATCCTCTGGAGCCTTAGAACTAGCTATTGGTGCAGCCAAAAGTTCCTAATTCCCAAAGGTTCTTGAATTTATGACTTTGCTGGAGCAAATCATACAAAATTTCTTGAGTTGCCCACTTTAAAACAATATTATTTAAAGAATCGAGTTCCAATTTCTTCTCTCCTTTCATGATGTCACGCAGCATTTTATTAATTTTTCATTTTTGGGCTTATTTTTTTATGAGACATGTTACTTGTGAGGCCTACATGTAATGGCCCATATGCTGTTATTTTGGTTATTTCCTTTTTGAGTTATTGTTACTATTATGAGCATAAGAGAGAACGTGTATTGGCATCCGAAAATCTTGGATGCATTGTTGTCAGTGTGTACAAAAGGAAAGGAGGAGTATTGTATGAGGCATTACGGAAGTTTTTAACAGAAAATTCTCTCTCTATTTTCTCTCTGGTTCTCTCTTCCTTCTTACTCTCTTCCTCTCCTCTCTTCCAGCTCAGTTTTTAAGGATTGTAACAGTAGTATCAGCGCGTCGACCTGGCAATCATGACGAACGGAATCACAACCAGGATGCAAAAAAAATTCATCAGAATGCCCCGCAAATATCCAAGCTACATGATAATATTCAACAGCTGAATGCAAAGATGGAGTAGAGATTTGAAGTATGCAGACTTAACTGTTGGAAGAATTGAAGAAGCTGGTGGACATGTCAATCAAGGATAGGAATGTAGTTGTTAATGAGCATGTTGGAGACCAGGCTTTTGCTAGCCGAATGGAGAGAAGGCCGGGGAAGGAGCCCATCACTAACATCGAGGCTGATAAACTTTCTGCTGGAGAGGTGATACTGAACAACTTGTCACCTTTATCCAAAAACCGTTACTCTTCCTATGATTCATATCAGCTGTTGAAACGGGATTGCCCTAAGTTTAGTGGAGATGATTTCAAAAGGTGATTCATGAAGTTAGAGCAGTATTTTGAGGCTGAAAAAAAAATACTTGAGGTTGCTAAGGTTGCTTTTGAGGAGTATGAGGACCCCATGGTCGAGTTAGTTGAGCTCAAACAGACCACTTCTATTGAGCAATACTATGAAGACTTCTTAAGCATCCTTAACTTTTTACAGTTACCTGATTTGTATGCTTTAGGCATATTTATCAGCAACCTCAAGCCTGCCATAGCTTAATCCATAAAATTATCTAGATCTAAATTCTTAACCCAAGCTTTACACTTAGCCAAACAGATTGAAGTCATTATACATCCTAACCAAAAGAGAAACTATTTACCTGCAAAACCACCAACAAACTTAAACTACCCCTTTTCGAATACCCTATGCACTAAAACCAGTAACTTACCTCCTTTACTGCCAACACCCAAGGCTCCACCCGATCCTAATTTCCAGTACACAAACAATCCTAAGCCCTTAAACCACCCAACCAATAAAATTCACAATACCAACACCAACACTTTTAAGCCTTTCACAAAGAAACCTATTCTAGCTGAGATAGACGAAAGGAAGAAAAAGGGTTATGTTATTGGTGTTGGGTGAAGTGCATTGTGGGCCACAAATGCATGAAGCTGATATACATAAGACAGCTTTCAAGACTCATGATGTTCATTATGAATTCCTTGTCATGCCCTTTGGCCTTACTAATGCGCCATCAACCTTCCATAGTCTCACGAACAGTATTTTTAAAGAACAATTGAGAAAATTTGTATTGTTGTTTTTTGATGACGTTCTTATATATTCTTTTAATCTGGAAATTCATTTGGAGCACTTAAGGAAGGCTTTTGGGCTTCTTAAAGCTATCAAGTTATTTCTTAAGAGAAGCAAATGTGAATTTGGTGCAATCGAAGTTGAATATATGGGACATGTGATTTCTGCCAGGGGAGCAGAGATGGACAAGTAGAAAATTTCAAGTATCCTCAATTCGCCTCCACAAAGTCTGTCAAAGAACTGAGAGGATTCATGGGCCTCACAAACTATTATAAGCGGTTTATTAAGAGGTATGGGTTATTGGCAAAACCCTTAACAGACTTACTTAAAAAAGATGCCTTCAATTGGACAGAAACAGCTATGAAGTCCTTTGAGCGTGGAGAATGGCCATGACTACTGCTCTAGTGTTGCTCGTACCTAATTTTAGTAAAACCTTCATGGTTGAGACTGATGCCTTAGGAATTGGTGTGGGAGCAGTGTTAACTCAAAAAGGAAGGCCGGTGGCATATTTCAGCAAGGCAATGTCTCCAAGGCATCAAGCCTTCTCTGTTTATGAGATAGAGATGTTTGCTGTTTTATTAGCAGTTGAAAAGTGGAATCCCTATCTCTCTGGCTAACATTTTATTATAAAAACTGACCATCAAAGCTTGAAATTTCTTCTTACCAATCAAGCAAGTACTCTTGCTCAGCAACTCTGGATTACAAAAAATGATGGGTTATGACTATGAGGTGAGGTATCGAAAAGGGGCACTCGACACAGTGGCCGATACACTATCCAGATGACCAGAATTACAATCAGCTCATCTGATGGCAGTATCTACCACGAGCACTTACTTGATGAATCAGATTCAAAACTCTTGGAGGCAAGATCTGAGATTACTCAGGTTGATAACTGAGCTGCAATCTAATTCACATGCTCATCCTAAATATACTTGGCATAAGAACTAGTTGAGAAGGAAAGGGAAATTAGTTGTGGGAATGGTACCAGTTTGGAGACAAAAGCTTCTGAACTACTTTCATAATAGTGCTACTGGTGGACACTTGGGGGTTAATGCCACTGTAAAAAGAATCTCTAATGCTTTGTATTGGAACGAGTTGAAAAAATATGTAAGAAGAATGGTAAAAAAATGTGCAGTTTGTCAACAGTGCAAGCCAGACAATGCAACATTACCAGGTCTACTTCAGCCATTCCCTATTCCTAACAGAATTTGGTGTGATATTTCTATGGATTTTTTATTGAGGGGTTGCCTAAATCCTATTACTAGTAATTGTGGACAGATTGAGTAAATATGCTCAGTTCTTAGCCATTTCTCACCCTTTCTCAGCATTAACAGCACACTAGTTTATGGACTATATATAAACTGCATGGCATGCCAAGTTCTATAGTTTCCGATAGGGACAAAGTTTTCATGAGCAGATTCTAGCAGGAGCTATTCAAAAGGCATGGCAATTCTCTCAACTTATCTACTGCTTATCATCGTTAGTCAGATGGCTAAACAGAGGTGGTTAACAGGTGCCTAGAAACCTATTTGAGAAACATGATAATTGAGACTCCAAAGAAGTGGTCTAAGTGGCTGCTTTTGGCAGAATGGTGGTACAATACTAACTACCACTCTACTATAAATACAACACCATATGGGGTGGAGTATGGTCAATCCCCTCCGGTGCATATGCCCTATTTGGCTGGTGATTCAGTGGTGGAAACGGTGGACAGGAGCCTTTAAGCTAAAGAAGCAGCAATCAAGTTATGATGGAGAGTTTGCCTGATAAAAGGAGAAGTGATAGGGAGTTCCAGATAGGGGATTTAGTTTATGTCAAACTACAACCCTATAGGCAGCAGTCAGTGAAAAATAGAAGTTGCAACAAACTTGCTGTCAAATATTTTAGACCTTATAAGATCATAGAGAGGATAGGACATTTCATATCTCTTAGCTAAAAAAAAACATAATGGTAGTTCAACAGTGCAATCTCAACTGCCTGTGGTAAGTAGTGATGGAACAATGATAAAAGAACCTATCAATGTGTTGAACAGAAGGATGACTAAGCGAGGAAATATGGCTGTTACAGAAGTCCTAGTACAGTAAACCAACTCTTTTCCAGAAGATGCAACTTAGGAGATTTTGTTTGACTTGAAGAAGTACCCTCCTTTTGATCCTCGAGGACAAGAATCTTCTTCAGGGAGTATTGTTGCGGACCATTCTATTAATTTTTCATTTTTGGGTTTATTTCTTTATGCGACATGTTCCTTGTAAGGCCTACATGTATATGGCCCATATGCTGTTATTTTAGTTATTTCTTTTTTGAGTTGTTGTTACTGTTATAAGCATGAGAGAAATGTGTGCTGGCGTCTGAAAATCTTGGATGCATTGTTGTCAATATGCACAAAAGGAAAGGAGCAATGTATGAGACATTACGAAAGTTTTTAACATAAAATTCTCTCTCTAATTCTCTCTTCTTTCTCTCTTCCTCTTCTCTCTATTTTTCCTTCTCTTTTTTAAAATTTTCAGCTGAGTTTCGAAGGATTGTAACGCATGATGATGACGTATAGATATGCAGTGTCCCAACTCTCAAAAGAGCAATTAAATAAGGGTTTTCCAGTAAAAAAGTAAGAGGTTAATCCATACTTAGCACAAAAAAGTAAGGGGTTAATCCATACTTAGCACCTACGAAATACATTGATTCGATCGCAAAGAACAATCGAAATATTGATTTTCCAAGCATCTATAGCTTTTGCATATTCGCCCAAAAAGAAATAGTCAGGCTTAGTTGAACAATATGGCTTCCCTTGGGAGATTTCCTTTCCAAGTAATTTTATCCAAAAATCTGACATGTCCTCCTACTTGAATCTCCACCACAAATTTGCAATGAAAACAGTTTTCAGCAAACTGCTTTAAATGGAGGCTTTTGACATGATTACAGGATTAAAAACCATTAATCAAGTGAAAATAACCATTCAATTATTCAAAAGATTCCCTTGGCCATTTCATTTCCCTAGCTTTCTTTCTAGCTCCAATTGGCTGCTTCCGTGTCAAACTTTTGTATTACTTTTGTCCTATGAATGGAGCTGTCATAATTGCATGCTGGTGACCAGTGTAAGTGGGTATAAATTATGTCAAACAAATGCGCAGCCAAGCTTCCACAAGTGTCAGGAAGGGAAATTCTTCTCTAATTCTTGGGATCATAGAAAAATTTTGAGAGATAAGAGTTCCGATATCTTCGGATAAATATTAATAAAAAAAAAAAAAATATGTATATTTTATTTAAATAATTAAAATTAATAAAAAATAAAAAATTTTAACAACCATTATTTAATTAAATAATAAAAAAATAATTAATTATATTATTTTTTTCGATTATAATCTTTAATAATTTTTGTTTTTATTATAACATTTATATGTTTATATTAACGTATTCTAGATTTTTAATTATTTTTTTTCATAAAAATAATTATTAATAAAATTTATGAAATTCATACAAATTAAAAAATTAAAAAAAATAAATTTATTGATAAATAATATTTTTATATTCTCAATCTAATTTTATAATTTAAAATTTATATTTTTAATTTAAAAAATAATTAAAATATAATAATCATTTTATATTTTAAAAATTTTATTCTTTTTATTCTCTCCTTTTTTCCCTAAATTTGGGATAATTAAAAAATAAAGAAAGTTAAGGGACATATCTTCTTTTTTTTATTTATTTATATCATATTCAAATAAAGAAAAAAATTTCCTATTCCTTTTTGTACCCTTTCCATTTCTTTCCTTTCTCTTCCCTTACCTCAATCCAAACATAGGCTTAGATGGACAAGGTAAAGAGAAAGGCAGGGAGAGTGGACCAATTATGGATGATGCTCATGAAAATGTCCTCGTCACTCTACCAGGGTATCATCAATCTAAGATATGTTTTTTGAGTGTGGTGCAGTGATGAATTTTCTTCTGTGGGGCTTGAAATGAAGGCCCACAGGCCATAGCAGTCAAAATAAAAAATAAAAAGAGTTTTGAAGAATTGGGGTTCCATTCTATGAGCACAAATTGTTGACTTGTGTTCCATTTGCCTTATGCTAAAGTGAACAGGTACATTGCACTTTTCCTTGTGTTCCATTAATTTTCTTTCCTAGCATAACAAGGGCTTGCTTGCAAAGTGATCATATGCTTTGCAATGAATATAACTCAAGTAATGGATTTGAAACCCCAGAACTGGTTTCCTTTTCTATGGCCTCTCATCTGTAGCCATTGTTCAGTTGGCCGCACATTTAAAAACCTAATCTGAGAGACCAATTCTCAAATTAAAATAATCAATTAGGAGAAAGTCACCGAGCAAACCGAAATTAAGGACGTCTCTCTCTGTTGCATTTGCAGGTGCACCTGAAATCTTCCTATTAAATTATCCAACTCCTTGTTGGTTTATTGTGCTCCTTAGACTCTTTAAAACAAATCAGAGTTTGTCATCAGTTAACAATCCTTCTTTCTATACAAGGTCGAAACAGGCGCATCTATTATATTTCCCAATAGTCTTATCACAATCACATGCAATTGGACATGAATTGGCACCTGACATCATGGAAAAAACAATAGGCCTGGTCTTCTGTGGCAATAAACTTGAAAAGAAACAGCAAAGCCTCGTATCATTTTTATTTTCTTTTGCAGTTCATTAGCCATCAATGTTTCTCTCTATGCATATACATAAACAAAACTAAACTTAAAAAAATGTCAAATAACATTAAGAAAAGCAACTCTTTGCACCTTCCTTTTTCATCTGGTGAAGAACTATTTTAAAGCCAGGATTAATCAACCTCATCTGCAGCAACTGGAACATCAGCTTGTCCTCCTGATGAATTCCCATGTAGCTCGATTCCACCTTCTATATCTGGTGCAGCATCAGAACTAGTTGCCTGCTCTAGCATTGATTGCCTGCAAGTTGGACAGGATGAGTGTGACAGCAACCAGGTATCTACACACCTCACATGAAAACCATGGTTACATTTTGGCAACACCCTGACTTTTTCACCATCCATAAATTCTCCAAGGCAAATTGGACAATCTGTAGTTTTCATATTTATCCCTGAACTATATATGGCCACCGGAATCCGGCGCAATACGCTCTTCTTCAGGCCTGTTGCAGCTAGATGTGCCTCAGTCTCATCTGGAATCTCAAAATCAGACCTTCTGCTACAGCGCAAAGCACAACGGACTATAGAATTTAGTCCTAAAGCACACATCAGTACACAAAGCAAAGCTACTAGGTTGATCACCATGCTGGTATCAAAGTTGCCTTCATTGGTTAAAGAACTACGCGCTCTGTCTCCATTCGTTGCTGGTGCTCTTGATTCTGTATCAAGGAGAAGGCGGTGTGGGCGGTGATGGAGAGTCACCATTGCTATTTCAGCTTGTATATCACCAATTCTCAAGCACCAAAAGCCTATAGAAGAGTTTAAAATTCTACTACCCTTTTTGAATTTCGGATGTTTTCTTTAACCCTCATTGATGAACTTCAGCATAGCGGCTTCTAAGTTCTTTGCTCCACGTTGTTTCTTCAGTGAATCGAACCACAAAGGTTACTGAAAGAAGAGAATTCATCTCTCACATTTTCTGAACAAAATAAATCCTTTGCTTGTTCGCTTCAACTTCCTTAACTCTTGGCTTGCTAGTTGCTATGCAGGGATGTTGGTTGAGGGAAGCTTCGGTACTTGCTGCTGATATATAGAGAAAGTGAGGGCTTATGCTTTCTTTGTCTTGGTTCTTGCAGATCAGCTTTCAACTAAATTGAGACATATGGGCCTTTAAGCTGTGGTTGTGTCTGTCAGGATTCCAACTAGATAAAGACACCAACAAAAAGCATCTTCTTTGGTGATTAAAGGATAAGAGAGGGCCTTCATGGTGCATCAAGGGGTGAGATTGCAAAAATTTATGGTTTCCAAAAAAACAAAGAGTCCATAACCCAGTTAAATTCTTTCCTCCATCAGATCACCATCACCACCTTATATAGAAAAGCAAAAAAAACTGAAGATAATATGTACTATGAGAACAATAATTTGGGCTTCCCAGGGTCTACTGATGAAGACTAATTTCTAGCAGAAATAGTTGGAAATTCTTGCTAGCGGTTCAAATAGAGAGGATCAGAGTACATACAACTGGGCCCTGGAAAGAGATAGGGAAGGTGCTGTGATGTATCAAGGTGCTGACGGTCATTTTTGGATGGAGGAAAGGGCATTTTGTGAAAAATAATTCAGATATGTGTTTGTTGTCTTTTCATTGCATTACAATTGAGAGGCACAAACGTTGGACAGACTCGAGAAACAAATAGAAAGAAAAAGGTGGCTCAGAATTCTTGATTATGGCGCTCGATCCCACACAAAATCGGAATTAGTTTATGGAGAAAAAACAAAGCTTTTTCTTTGGCACCAAACCCTTTGCCACTCTTCGCTGCAATTAAAAGGTAAAGCCATTCGATTATTAATTTCAGCCCATTGCTCATCTTTGCAACCCTTTATTGTTCAGATAATGGCAATGTGTTTATGCTTTCTTTTAAAAATCTAATCTAAATTCTATCTCAAGTACTGTTTCTACGTAATGATGATAGTGATAGCTTATAAACTTATTAGACATGCATTTATGGAGACGCTGGTCCAAGAAAGTAATTTTCTTTTTTTTGGGTTTGTTTCAATCCAAGAGTCCCTCTTTTGATGGAAATATATATTGTCTTTGCTGAGGTACATGTGAAACTACAATGTGAAAGAAAAGACTGGCGTAGATGGAGATCATATAGGAAAGGCATTACCTGTATATCTGTCGATTCATATTTTTATGTCATGAGTCGAATTTAATATTTATAATAATATAAATTATTAAAATATAAAAATAACATAAATTATAAAATATAATTAAATTTTAAGTGTGAATATGATATATTTATTATGTATATTATATATGATACGATATAATTAATATATGTATAATTAATTATTTAAATATAATATAAATAAATATAAATAATACAAATATATATAAATAACTATAATTAATATAGATATATATAAATAGACACGATTAATATATATATAAAAAATATAATTAAAATAATAAGTAATTATAAACTATCAATAATTTATAATTTAATAAACTAGAATATTAATAATATAAAAAATACTTGCATATTAAAAAAAAAAATTGATACCCATTTAATATATATTTAAATTTTAATATATAGTATGTGACATATTAATTTTTAATATCAAATTAAAATGATGAATCGTTAAAGATTAAAAAATAAAATAATAATGTATAAGATTAGTATTAATATTTATATTGTATTTATATTATTAATATAAAAATAATTTTATAATAATTATTAAATGAGTATCATAATTAAATATTTAAAATAATTTTATATGGTATTTAATAGCTAATTAAGTATCGTAATTAAAAGATTAAAAATTAAAATAATTTTTATATATTTATATTAAATTAAAATAAATATAAAAATATGTTAAACGTGTTAAACATGTTAACTATGTACTCATATGATAAAATCAAATTAAATATATTTTTCATGTAGTGTCAAGTATTAAATATATATCCATATTATATGTTTTATCTAAACATATTTTTCATATAAAATATGTGTTTAAATGTGTCAACATATATATATATGACAAGAATTATATCATATTAAAATTTATTTTTATATGAATAAACATGAAATATATATTTTTTAAAATATATATTATTTTTTAATTTTTTTATATTGTATCATTATATTGTATTTAAAATTATTAGGTCTAATTATTTTCATGGACAAAAGCTAAACAAAATACATATTAGATGTGTAAATGATATATCAATATTCACAAACTATTTAAGTTTGACTCGAATTCAACTCGATTATTATCGAATCGAGCTCGAATAGCTCTATTTATCAATCAAGTCGAATTCGAATATTCTTATACTTGGTTCAAGTAATTCGTAACCTAATCGAGTTTTTATATTTTAATTATTTTAATTGATAAAATATTTCGAGCTCGAATTTGAATTCGAACATAAATAATTAAAATTTTATTGAATATAAAAATCAAATTTATTTTTACATATTAATCAAACCTGATTGAACGAATTTAAATAATTCGATTTTTATCTCAAATTAAACTTGAATTAAAAAAAATATTAATCAAGTTCAAGCTAAATTTTTAATCTCTAATTTAAAATTAAATTCAAGTTCAACTTAATACTGTATCAATTTAAACTTAATCAATTACATTTTTAATCTTAGTATATCTGATTTAATCTACTGTTTTAGCTACTGACTCAGATGGTGGACCCTCATTTTCACACATCAAAACGGTTGCCTCTCTGTGGTTTACCCACACCCACTGGTCCAATTCATGTTCCATCAGAAACACCACTGTTTTTTTGCCTCTCAACAACTCTTTGTCCTTTGCTAACCTCACATTTTTTTTTTCACAGTAATATCAACGTCTTTAGTAGGTGAAGAGATGAGAAAAAGAGGGACGGTTGCAGTAGAAGCTATTAATTCTATTAGATTAGATTGGATTGAGATCCAAGATGATGTTGAATAAAACAAGTAATTAGTAAGTATTTTAATCATATATTTTGTGACATAAGATTAGCAAAATTTTTTATGGTTATTTGTTCAAAAATTATGCAATTTGAGCACTACTTGAATGGAAGATTGCAATTACTATAAAATATATTCCTGATGAGGAATGTTTATAATCAAAACTGGTGTTTATAACATTTTTTTATAAACATGATCAAATACAATACATATGTATATATAGAAATATATATGGGTTCATCTCCGTACTCAAAAGAAATATCAGTATTGCTATTGAATTTAATTAATATATATAATAAAAAAGGAATCAATTTATATAGTGTAAAAAATTTTTAATTATTAATTTAAATAGAACCAAAAGATGAGATTAATTTTTTTTTTATTTTTATTCGTTTCTCTCATTCTTTAGATCAATTAAAATTAAAAGTTAAAAAAATATGCAAATTTTTTTTATTTTACACTGTACAAAATTGATCCCTCCTCTATATAATAATATATTTAACAAAATTGATCCCTCCTTTATTATAATAATATATTTAACAATATAATATCATGAATTATGAAATCCTAAGTTCATATCCCAATTATTTTTTATAATAATTTTTTTGACACATGTAGATAAGAAAATCTGAAAGGATTTCTTAAAGAAGGGTAACTATTGATCAAATATAAGGTTTCATTTGTTCGTAGAAATTAATTTTTTAAATTTTTTTTAAAGTATTTATATTTTTCAAAAAAGTGAAGATTTTTTATTATTTGGATGAATTAGTAAAAAATAATTTTTGTTATTTGGTTATCTTCCGAAATATATGTTTTTTAGATAATATTGACATAATTATTAAAACATTAAAAATTATTTATGACTAAAATATATTGAAACTATTTGTTATTAAAATTATTAATATTCCAAAAAATTATATTTTCATAATATTTAATATTAAAAATTATGTTAATATAAAAAAATTTAAAAACAAAACTATTTATTATTCATATTAATATTTTAAAATATTTAAAATAGTTTTATTATTCTTAAAATATTATTTTTATTAGTATAATAATATTAAAATAGTAATATTTATTATTAAAATATTAAAAATATTTATGAAATTATTAAAATATTCATTTTATGAAAATACTAATATTATTATATTACTTAATATTAATTATTAAACTAATAAAAATATTATTTAATATATTATTATATTATAAAATAATAATATAATATATTTATTATTGAAATATTAAAATATTTATGTTTAATAATATACAAAATATAAATATTTAAAATTAAAATTCAAAATAATTTTAATGCTAATATTTTAATTTTTAAATTAAAATTAAATGAATATATTTTTATTAATATAATAATAATTTAGATCAAATTAAGCTTAAACTTAAAATATCATGATTAAAGTCTCACTTGAATACAACTATAAAATATTTTTAAAATTAAAATATAAGAAGATTTTTTATTTAAATATTTCAATATTTAAATAAAATTAAATAAAATTTTTTTTATTAATATAATAATATTTCAAGTAAAATTAGCTCTGAATTTAAAATTATAATCAATGCCCGACTTAAGTAGAATTGTACTTACTAGCTTAATAAGTAGTCATGCCTATAGATAACTCTTTTCCATTTCTCCTTTTGAAAATGGAAAAACAACTTTTAGAAAAATGGTGTCATGACGTGTAAGTATAAGAACTAACTCATTAGACACAGCATAAGAACCACAATTAATTTTTTTAATTAGGTATAATTAGTTATTTAAGTGAATTTTTTTCTTTTAAAATTATTCTAAGTTTGATTAAAAATTTTTTAAAAAATAAATTTTGATTTTCTAAATAGAATTAAGTTGAAGAGTTTTATTACATATAAAAAAAGTTATAACACTCTTACAATATTTACAAATTAACACTAATTAATTTTAAATTATCTTTTTATCCTTAACCAATGGTTTTCTGTTCCTAATTATTTTTGTTATTTTTATTAATTTTAATATTTAAATATAAATAATATTGTTAGGTATTTTTTAAGACTTTAATTGACTCTTAAAAATATTCTATCACTTCATGAATATTTAAGTAACGCTTTTTTTTTTTGAAAAGATTTTATTGTTAAATTTATTAAATATTTTATGAAAAAAATAATTTAAATATACAAAATAAAATACACAATTGAATTCATAAAATATAATAATCAAATACAAAATTTAATTTATGTAATCACAATTTAATTAATCATTAAATCACCATAACTTATTCTCAATTTTATTTTTTTAAATTACAAATAAATAAATATTCTTATATTGAGACTAGTTTTTAAATCTTTTAAAGCTTTGATTAAATTTAAAAAATTTTTCTCATCTAAAACTTTATTAAAAAAACTTACACATTTGTCACTTTTTTATAATTTTATTATTTGACGAATTTTTTTTTTTTTGTTTTTCTGAAATGCCTTTTTAATTTTTCGTTACCAAATCAAACTTTCTTTGTTTTCTTCCAATAATTAAAATCATATATTAAGGCTTCGTTTGATAACCATGACCTTCTTTTTCAGTGTTTGGATGATTAAAATTTACAATTCTGGTAAAAAAAAATAATAATCTAAACCAAGGAAATTATCTTCTGTTCTTCTAGGGCGGAAGACAATTTCCAAAACATCAACCCAGCAACTATCCATGAACCGTCAAGCTCCAACACAACAAGCAGCCAGCCAACCACTGCCTTCCCTCCCCGTCACTGGCGACAACCTCTTCGGATGCCTTTCGCTTCATTTTTTTTCAGTTCCCTTTCTCTCTTTATCAAATTATGAAGAATAACAACATTTTTTTTTAACATGGGACCAACATAAAACACCCAACAGGATCAGCTCCACTACTACTTTGAGGAAGAGGTGATGGCC